GCCTCATCACACAGGACCATTGAAGGAACAGAGGAGCTTTAAATGATGCCATGTCCAACACTTGCATATTCCCCATTAATAATAGAATATCTGATAACCTTCCTCATTGCTGAGTTAAGTGCTCTGTTTCCTTACTTTACAACAATGACTATGTACTGAAAATACTAATTGGCTGTGAAGTGCTTTTTAAAACAATGCTCCCATTTTGATCACTTAGACATTTCCTTTCAGAGGAGAAAAATAAGCTATTGAATATGAATCATGTCTTTTTAACAGGGATCATTAAACCATTGTTGGATGTGACTTTACATCATATCAAGGACATCTTCTGTAAAGAAAATGGTATGTCATTTCAAGTTGAGATGTTAAAAGAAACAAAACAATTAAAAGTTAAATATTTGTCTAAACCCAACAGTTTAAAGCACTTCAGTGAAATCTGTACACTGAAAGCTTCAGCTGATTTATGCATGCAAATTTACTTGCGTGCTCAGACCAGCAACCAGTCATAAAACCACAATGGAAGTGGGTCAATTATTTTAATAACAAAATCTTGTACTTTTCCCATGGCTTGGCTAACAAAAGTCGAAGTCACGTAGTGGGCATCATTTGTACAGTGATTTGCAAATACATTGCATGCTAATCAGGAATTTGGGTTGTGGATCTAATAGCATAAATTAAAATTAAATATTTAAGGATTAATAGTTGATGAAGGGAAGATTAAAACACAGCAGGGAAATGAGAGAAGACGTATAGGACAGCGCAAGACAAAGGACTGGAGTGGTGGGCTAGAGAAGGGGACAGACAGAAAAGTGGGGGTTGGGGGTGGAGACAGCGCGAGCGGGCGGGCGAGAGAAAGCTGGCGGGGGGATAAATGAGAAAAAAAAAAGGTGGAGAAGGGAGAAAGAAAGAGATAATAAGAGCAAGTGAAGTTGAGGGAGAGAGACTGAAGCACTTTGGGATCACGGATTTTTAAAAGATTCTGCATTAATGTAGTATGCTGTATCAGTTGTTTGGCCAAACAAATGTGACGGAAACACCGAATTCCAAAGTGATAGAGAAGGATTATTTTCATAAATGTCTACCTTCTTAAAGATAATCCAACAAAATATGAAAGGGGTATTTGTGAGCCAAAGGCCAGAATCCACGTGCATGTTTTAGCTAGATAACCGAAACGATCCAGTCAACACAAAGCTCTTAAAGGCTCATGTAGTTTGAAAAGGCAATGTGCAAGCATTTGATAAATTCATCCAACCATATACAGTACAGAACAAAACAAAACCAAAGCGGAAATATTGCTTTAAAGTTTGGACATTACAGCAGAGAGAGAGGTTTTGAAGAAAATGTACAGAACTATTTTCATGGACAGAAGTTGGAAAATGCTTCAAAACAGTAGGAGTGTTAACTCCAAGATTGGGAAATCCAGGTGTTTATGGGGAAGGAGGACTAAAAAATTGCTAACATTCAGTATCTGTTCAATTAATGGATTAAAAACCATTACTGCAAACCCACAATCTCCCAGCCAGTATTCCTCCAGTGTTATACGCTGTTGGAAGTACCTAAAGAACAAATAAACCCACAAGAGTAGAATATAGTGGAGGCAAATAACAAAATAAATATAGAAAATGTTGGAAGTAGAGTGCAAGTAAAACAGCAACAAGTGTCTCAGTTCTGATAATAAAGCAGTAACCCAAACATTAATCCTGTTGCTCTTTCCATTAATGCCAGCTGACGACCTGAGTATTTTTAACATTGTTATTTATTATAAACAAATGTAAGCCACACAGGTGTAAATTGAGAAATTGGGAAAATAGAACAACAGGCCAGAAAAACACTAATAAACATCAGATTAGGTCTTAATTGAAGAGATAAAACACTTTTTTCCAAGTTAAGAATGGATACATGTAACAGGAAGCTCAGAGGAACAGAGGGATTTTGTGATGCTTGTACACAGACTCCTGTCGGGAGCAGGACAGGTTAATACGGTAGTGAAGACAACATACAGGATGCTTGCTTTTATCAGTCAAGGCACAGATTATAGCCACAGCAAGATCATATTGGAGATGGACAGAACTGTGTTCAGGGCACAGTGGAGTACTGAATGCAGTTCTGGTTACCACTTTACAGGAAGGTGATACTTTTGTTGGGCGAAGTTGGGTTGGGGAAAGGGGGGGTGCAGCGCAAAGGAGACTCACCGGAATGTTGCCCGGGATGGAACATTTGAGCTATGAAGGCTGGATTACACAGTCAGAGATATACAGCATGGAAACAGACCCTTCGGTCCAACTCATCCATGCTGACCTGATAACCTAAATAAATCTAGTTCCATTTGCCAGCATTTGGCCCATATCCCTCTAAGCCCTTCCTATCCAGGTACCCATCCAGATGTCTTTTAAATGTTGTAATTGTACCAGCCTCCACTACTTCCTCTGGCAGCTCGTTCCATACATGCACCACCTACTAGGTGAAAAAGTCGCCTCTTAGGTACCTTTTAAATCTTCTCCTTTCATCCTAAACCTATGACCTCTAATTTTGGACTCCCCCACACCTGGAAAGAGACCTTGGCTATTCATATTATCCGTACCCCTCATGATTTTATAAACCTCTAAGGTCACCCCTCAACCTCTGGCACTTCAGGGAAAATAACCCCAGCCAATTCAGTGTCTCCCTACAGCTCAAACCCTCCAACCCTGGCAACATCCTTGTAAATTTTTTCTGAACCCTTTTAAGTTCCACCACATCCTTCCTATAAAAAGATCAGAATTGCACACAGTATTCCAATAGTGGCCTAACCAATGACCTGTACAACTGTAACATGACCTCCCAACTCCTATACTCAATGCACTGACCAATAAAGGCAAACACACCACATGCCTTCTTCACTATCCTGTCTACTTGCGGCTCCACTTTCAAGGAACTACAAAACTGCACTCCAACCTCTCTTTGGTCAGCAGCACCCCAAGACCTTAACGATTAAGTGTATAAGTCCTGCCCCCATTTGCCTTTCCAAAATGCAGCACCTCACATCTATCTAAATTAAACACCATCTGCTATGCCTCAGTCCATTGGCCCATCTGATCAAGATCCCATGGTACTTTGATGTAACTTCCTTCGATGTCCACTACAGTCTTGGTGTCACCTGCAAACTTACCAACCATACCTCCTATGTTCACATCCAAATTATTTACATAAATGACAAAAACCAGTGGACCCAGCACTGATCCTGGTGGCACACTGCTGGTCACAGACCTATAGTCTGAAAAGCAACCATCCACCTTTGAGCCAGTTCTGTATCCAAAATGACTAGTTCTCCCTGTTTTCCATGTGATCTAACCTTGTGAACTATTGTGCAATGAGGAACCTTGTCGACCACCTTACTAAAGTAAGCTTGGGTTGTTTTCTTTGGAGCAGAGAAAATTGAGTGGGGCATGACTGTCATGCACAAGATCATTTGGAGCATGTACAGGGTGAATACAAAGCAGCTGTTCCCTTAGCTGAAGGGCCCACAATGAAGGGGTATATTTTTAAACTGAAAGAGAAGTTGTTTTAGAGGGGATGTGAGGAAATGTTTTTCACCCAGAGGGTGGTGGTGGTGGTTTGGAAAGCACTGCCTGGGTGGCAGAAAACCTTGCAACCTTATTAAAAAAAGATCCTTGGGTGAGCACTTGAAATATCATAATATTCAAGGCTACGGGCTGAGGATAGGAAAATGGGATTAGTATAGTTAGTAGTTAACTTGGTACAAACTTGATGGGTTGAATGGCCTCTTCTGTACTTTCCGATTCAATGATCATAGAGTATCATTGAGTCCCTACAGCGTGGAAACAGACCAACAAGTCCACACTGCCCCTCCAAAGAGCATCCCACCCAGACCCATTCCCCTACTCCTGCATTTCCCATGACTAACCCACCTAACCTAAAAGTCTTTGGACACTAAGGGCAATTCAGTTTGGCCATACCACCTTTGCTGCACATCTCTGGACTGTGGGAAGAAACTGGAGCATTTGGAGGAAACCCTGCAGACATGGGGAAAACGTGCAAACGGGCATTTGCCAGAGGGTGGAATCAAACGTGGGTTCCTGGTGCTGTCAGGCATCAGTGCTAAACCATTGAGCCACCATGCCGCCCTTTTTTATCTAACATAATTCAAATCACAGAACTGTTTCTGGACAGAAGGGGCTCAGTTGCACCATTGTTTGTAATCGAGTCCCAATCTTCTGACCTTTCTCCATATCCTTGCACACCATTTCTACCCAAGATATCTTTCAATGTCTTTTTGAATGAGTCAACTGAACCTGCCTTCACTGCAGTCCAGGCAGTCTATTCCATTGCTCAACTACTCGCTGTGTGAAAAAGTTCCTCGCATTACTCTTGCTTCATTCGCACATCAATTTCAAACTATGCCTTCATGTTCTTTTTCAGGGTAATATTTTGTTAATGAATTCCATTTTAAAGTGAATAATATGGAGATCATATATTCTGAAACAGTAACAGTTCTTGACTCAATGTAACGACACATTCCTTACATCTCTGCTCAGCAACCAGTCAAACCATAACCAGTATTGATCAGATCATAAATGGGATAATTATCACAACATCTTTCCATTCCTCAAATTCTACTTTCATGCTTCTTCATTGTTAAACCTCACTAGTGAGTGTTGACAAAGATGATAATAAAAATACAAATGTTCAATAACAAAGAACGCAAAGTTTCAAATTATTACTCTGAAACCTGATTTTTAGATGCCGTATAAAGTTTCCATTCAATCTGTCGTCTGCCTGCTGATTAGTATAATGATAGAAAATACCTATAACCACAAATTATCGTATGCAGTTGTTTAAACAAGCATAGCACCTCGGAAACTCGTTTAGGAAATTTAAAGTGCTACACCAATTTCCACATATGCTCCTCTAGAAATTTACAAGCATTGGGAAAAACCCCAATTAGCAGTTAGTAACATATAATTTTCAAACATTTAATTCAGATTTGCCAAGTTCCTTACTTCATCAGAAGCAGAACGTAGACACTGAACAGCAGCTTGTTTCTTCATTTCCTCAACACTCAGATCTGAACACTTCTTTTTTCCTTTTCCCCATTTCTTTGTGGTTCCTTTCTCCCAGCCCAAGAAGATGTCATTTTCCTGTTCCATAAAATTGGAGTGGAACAATTAGTACAGTACATAAAAAAGTATCATTTCACATTTCAAAGTGAAGCTTAATGAATACTGGAATCAAGAAAACACACTAACTATCCATCAATAAAAGCATGCATCGGACAGTTTAAATGAAAGCAGCTGCATGTGAGATACTGCACAAGTCCACCTGAACAAAGGTGAAGGTAATTGACACGTTCATGACTACTGGCAGGGCATTTTCAGTCAAACAGCTGATCCCTTTGACAGTACTCCTTTTGAGTGTAGGGCCTTCATATCTTACAGGCCCCCTGGGCAGCACAGTAGCTGAGGCCAAATAAGGCCAAAGTCCAAGGATGGCTTAATTTGTTACCAAACACAGAGCAACAGCCGCCTGATGTGCCACCAACACCTGCAGATATACTTTCACATATCAGCCTAGGGCCTTCACCTGAACCACTCTGTTGCCATAAGCCAAATGCGCACACAGTGTGTATGTCACTGCAAGAACAAGAATAAAGAACAATACAGCACAGGAACAGGCCCTTTGGCCCACCAAGTCTGCACCAAAACTACATCTTTCGAATAAAAACCGTTTACCTCTACGTGGTCTGTACCACTATTCCCTGCATATTCACGTATTTGTCAAGACGCCTCTTAAACGTTGCTGTTGTATCGCTTTTACAACCTCCTTTGGTAGCACATTCCAGATAGTTACCATCCTGTTAAAAACTAGCTGCTCACATCCCCCTTAAACTTACCCCCTTTTACTTTAGGCCTACGTCCATAATAATTGGCTTTGGTACCTTAGGAAAATGACTGCCTATCCATTCCTTTCAATTTTGAGAGCTTCTTTCATTCTGACATTCAAGTGAAAACAAATCAGTTTGTCCACTTTTACCTAATAGCTCATAACCTCCAAACCAGGCAACATCCTGATAAACCTTTTCTGTATCCTCTACGAAGTCTCCACATCCTTCCAGTAGCATGGTGACCAGAAGTGTACACAATATTCCAAATGTGGCCTAACCAAATGTGACCCACTAATTTTTTTTTTTATTTTAAAACCACTATATTCCACATATAATCGAGAGGAGGCAATGGCCTAGTGTCATTATTGTTGGACTATTAATCCAGAGACTAGATAATATTCTGGGGACCTGGGTTCGAATCCTGCCACGGCAGACAGTGGAATTTGAATTCAATAAAATATCTGAAATTAAAGAATCAAATGACGACCATGAATCCATTGTCGATTGTTGGAAAAACCCATCTGGTTCACTAATGTCCTTTAGGGAAAGAAACTACCATCCTGTTCTGAGGAAGGGTCACTGGACCCGAAACATTAACTCTGTTTTTCCCTTCACAGATGATGCCAGACCCGCTGAGCTTCTCCAGCAACTTTGTCTTTGTTTCCGATTTTCAGCATCCGCAGTTCTTTCAGTTTTTATTTAAACTGCCATCCTTACCTGGTCTGGTCTACATGTGACTCCAGACCCACAGCAATGTGGATAACTCTGAACTGCCCTCTGGGCAATTAGGAATCAGCAATAAATGCTGCCTAGCCAGCAATACCCTCATCCCGTGAATGAATAAAGAAAAAAATGCCTTTTTGACCACCTTAACCACTTGTAGGGAACTGCGGACCTATACGTCTAGTTCCCACTGTACGTTAATGCTAAGAGTTCTGCCATTTCATTTGTAGTTCTTTCCTGCATTAGGCATTGCATCACTGTGCATTTGTCTGGATTAGATTCCATCTGCCATTTCTCCGACATACCTATGTCCTGCTACATTCTCTGGCAATCCTCCTAACTATCCGCAGCTCCCTGGATCTTTGTGTTGTCCACAAAATTTCAAATCAGACAACCTACTTTCTCCTCCACCTCATTCATATGTATGACAAACAACAGAGATCTCAGTACTGATCCCTGCAGAACTGGTCACAGACGTCCCATCACAAAAACATCCTTCCAACATGACTGTCTTCTATGACCAAGCCAGTTCTGTATCCATCTTACCAGCTCACTGCAGATCCCATGTGACTTCACCTTCTGCATCAGCCTGCCACGAAGGAGCTTATCAACAGGCCTTGTAAAGTCCAAGAATGAATTTATTACCACATATATCTAGGGAGATACATTTAAAAAGTATTCCGTCACCACAATCCAGTGCCATTTTGAGGTACAGAAGAATAAAGAGAAAATACTTAGTTTCTTCATCAGCCAGTGTCCCAAACACCGCTCCAGGACTTCTCCAAGATCTCCCCATTCCGGATCTACCGCAGCCAGGAGTTCCCACTCCACCATCGCTGCAGCCGATGCCCCACCATTCCAGGAGTCCACATACTGGGCCTACAAAGCCAAGAGTCCCTACTCTGCCACCACCTTGCCGCCATTGCAGGAATCCATGCATCCAGCCTATGAGTCAGAGTCACTATCAACACTGCTCCAGCCTATCTCAGGAGGGAGAAAAGGCAAAAGAAAAACAGACAAAAGGGAGAGAGAAAAAAAGAATGCAATTGCCTGGAGTGGATGGGCTCAGCCCAAACACTACCTACAGCCCTGCAATTCTCTCCCTAAATCTCTGCTTTTTATTTCAAGCTGCTCCTTCGCCTTGACCTTCTGGTCCTCAGTCCTCATATCCCCTCACATATCTTTTCGCTAGGAACTTGCTCTCGCGCAGTGTCCTGGGACATTTCACGAAATTAAAACCGGGCTCCGCAAGTGTAAGCTGTTGCAGTTCCATCGTGTCCAGAGCTCCTGTTTATTCTCCCATTTATGCAGCATCAGGAATGGTCTCTGCTTTTGAATGACTTCCCACTGCCAGCTGCCTCCTCACCTTCGAGGTGCTGACTTAGCATGCTTCCCATGCTCAATATTGATAATTAAATATTGTTCCAAACATATTTGCATTATGTACGCCTCAAGACAATTAACAACATGAATGCTGCAGGAGGGACGATTGCTAACTGTTGTCAAATGAATGGCAATTAGTACAGGCATATTGGAAATTATCTAATTAACATACAGGGCCATGTTCTTCGCAGACAAAAAGAACATGTATACACCTTAGATCCATTTCAATTCAAGGGTGACATATTTCCTGGTTCAATTCTTACATCCAGAGTCAATCACCTGGTTTAAAATTTAAAAATAGCCTGGCAGTTACTTGCTATTAAGTAATGTTTTCTCCAAGGCAACACCTCTACCAGATTCCACAATTCAACCAATCAGCATTTTTCACGTGCAGATAAATGCTGGATTTCCATGGAATTGGTATTGGCATTGGCGTTCCTGCAAAATGTCTTGTTGAGCATGAGGAAAAGCTTTGACAAATAAAACATTTCCCTCCTCCCAGCAATACTTAAATTCTCTTTGACCAGACAACTATTAGCCTTGAAACCTTAATCTGCCTTGTAATTGTCCTGATTGATACCATACTATTTTTGGGTAGACTGTGGCAGTGAAAAGACGCCTCCAAATTCGTGGGGAGGTAGAAGCATTGAGAAATCTGCACGCTGCTAAGCTATCTGCTGTGGAATCCATCCCAAAGCCCCTACGCCTCACTCTTTCTGTAATAAATCTCTTAACGGCGACCATTTTGACCAATTATTAGGTCACCTGATCCAGTATCTCCTCACGTGGCTCAGTATCATATCTCATTTTAAAATTTGCCTGCAGAGCATCTTGGGACATGTTACTACATTTCTAAAATGTCTTCAGTCTAAGTAAGCATTCTAACGCGAACCCGACCACCACCAGCACACATCGCCTCCCCCACCGCACCTCTCCAGGTATTTCCTTCAGCACCTCTTAAAAATTGTACCTTTTCATTTGTTGTCTTATATTCATTCCATCAAAATACATAACCACACTTTTCAGAATGAAATCTTACTCCCCATTTCACATTTCCACCATGTTACTGGTCATTATCTGCTAGATTTCCATGGTTTACAAACATCTGCAAACTTTCCAATCGTGCTTTTTCATAGCCAAGTACTTAATATGCTTCAAAAAGAACACATGCCTGAAAATCAATCCCAGAGGAACATTGAGTACTTGCCTTTCTTCAGATAAACAATTGTTTATCACTGCTTTCAGTAACTTTGCTAATTTCATATCCATTCTGGCACAGCCCATTTAATCTCATGACTTTTTAGAATGCTCAACATATTTTATATGGCCCTTTAATCTTATTTAGAAGTCCTCATACAAGCCATCAACACTCTTATTTTAATCCAAGACTGCAATCAAGTTCATCAGATACGATTCACCTTTAACAAGTGAGCATTACTTTTTCAAACAAATTGACTTTGTGCTGCATTATGAACTTTACAAACTTCTCTATCAATATTAAGTGAATTGCCCTATTGATACTGGACTCCCGATTGCTCCTCAAAAGCAAGAAAAATAACGTTGCATGTATAAAGAAGCTCAGAATAAAGAACATACTCCAGACAATTACCACATATAACCAACAAAGGTATACTGACTTCTCACTTTGCTCTCAAACTAAGAAAACTATCACCATATTATAATCTGTGGAGAGAGTGAATGAACGCACAAGTACAATATGATTCTTCTGTCTCTTTCTCCATAGATGCTGCCACACCTGAGTTTCTATCACTTATCTCATGTTATGAGCTGTGCCTTTCAGAAAGATTTGTTCTGTCATGTTTCTTTTGAAAGGGAGTATTGCAAATTAGGGGGATGAGCTGCCTGCTGTGAGCCCAGCAATGTAGTAAGCTTAGTTTTTTTTCTAAAAGCAGCATGAAGGAAGTGGGGTCAAGGTCTCAGAACCAGGAGTTTAGTTCAACTTTCAGTAGCTGTTATACATCTCTTCCTGCTACTGTAAAATGCTTCAGGTCTCTCTCAGAATTTTCTCTTGATGTTCTTTCCTCCTGGACTGGTGAAACACTGCATGTGAGACAATCTATTTTATGGAATTTGCTTCTGCCAACGGTATATTTATGGGATGTGGCTGTCCTGGAGCAACTAATCAGTAGT